TTTAACCAGGCTCTGGAATTTATTGACTCGTTGTTAGGCATTTCACGTAATAAATTGAAATAGCTGTCAAATATCGTATTAAACTTTGGATGAATTTGTTTTCTAGAAAAAATCTATAGCTATACGTGAAATATTGCAGTTAACTCATATGATATGTTATAACCATGATTTTTTTAATGAGTAGTAGGTCCTAAGAACAATATAACAAGTTAAAATTTATCTTCACAATTTTCAGTAATTGGTTAATCAAAGAAAAAATATTTTATAAAAAAAATAAAAAATAATAGAGGATTCGCAGTGAAATTATAATTTATTAGATATTATATTTGTTAAGTGCAATATGTTCAATATCCTCAAATTCACTAAATCAACGATAAAATTGCAAGAATTGATTTTAAACCTGTAAATCTATCAGAAAAAATATGTGAAAATTGTAAGACATAATTGGAGTACTCAATCGATTCTTAACATTCATGTCTAATCAGAAGCCTGTAAATAGTAGTGATTGTTTTTGATTTGTAGTATAAATTAGTTAAATGATTCCTGCTTAGTAAGGCATTTCGATCTTCGATCACATAAAGTTACATGTGCAAAAATAGAATTTATTTATAACAATATATACATACATAGTTTATATAAAAGTATTCTTACACATTGTGTATGTGTATTTAAATTTAAGAATAGAATTTTAGATTTCATACTATATGATTAGTGATGAATTTTTTTTTTAATTTTTTTAAAATATGGTCACTTACCAGGTGATAAGAACCAGGCTAATAGAAAAGCAGCTACCAAAGCTGCCATGGCTAGAGCAATTAGGAAATACGCTCGCCCCCGTGGTATGAGAAAGGGTTGTTTTCCACTATATGAAGGCTGCTGTATGACGTATTTATGTGGAGATCTTCCGTTCGAACGGAGTTCTCCTCCTAAAATTTAAAAAATAATATTATGAACAACGATGCAGATAACACATGATTAATATGAATATATGGTAAATAAATTAGTTTAATGTGCCTGAACAAGAATTACAAACACACACATGAGTAAAGTAGCATTAAGCTAACTCTCGTTAATTTTTTTCAAAAAGTATCTCTATAAAAATTAATGACGTTAATATAATAGGGAAATATATTTTGACCTATTATTGTATATGGGAAAATGGCATATACCCATACATTCCAGTAGAGATTTATGTAACTACTCCTCTCTTTTAACTCAAGGTAGTTAATAGATGTTTCTTCGGACAAAGAAGATTTATGGAAAATCTTTTCGCGAAGAAAGATTTGTATATGAATACTAATACGAGACATAAATTTCTATGCAATCTGTTGGTGTGTCTGTCTTTACAATCTCAAGTTTTATGCCATTCTGCTAAACGCACCATTTAGAAGTTAATCGGCATAAATAGCTTGGAGAGAAGAGCAGAATAGAATCTAGTTAAAATAACTCAACTGACATTCAACTTAGAGCCTTAGGCCGTTAGATTTTATCACGTATTACGTTAATCGCCTGTGACGATATATCCATCATGAATGTCCCTTTTATATATTTACGTCTCTTAGGACGCAGTAAATTATGTTCTCTTTATCGAACGTATAATAATATGAATAATTATAATTTTATCTTTGAGAGCAGCACATCGGAATAATTCTGCGAAAAACTTATGGCTGTCGAGGCTTCAATACCAAAATTATAGTGAAAAAACTAAATATGTTTGTGCTCATCTCAGCTTTTATAGAGTTATAAAAAAGTACAGTTTTTTTGTAAAATTGGTTAGAGTCAATTCACAAAAAATCGGCGAAAAATTTGGTTTTTTATTAGATCCATACTATTTTACAAAAAAATGTTAAATTATTACAAGAAGTATAATAAAATAATTTACAAACTGAATTATTTATAAAAAAAATAAAATTATTTAAAACTAAATGAACTAAAAAAATCAAAAAATTTGAAGTGTTTTGTAACTACATTTTAATTACAAACCTATTTTATAAACATATTTCAATTACAATACCGAAGGATTAAATGCCTAAATTTAAAACAATTTTTTTATCCCAAACATGAGATCTTGTCGTCATGTTCCTCGTGATCCGTTGACCTAGTAAAATAGGATCTCGGTAGTAATAAATCAAAAACATATATAATGTTAGCCATTCTAATTCCTAGAGTTTGTATACAAGTATTATGGGACATGTGCCAATTACGAAAATAAACCAGTTAGCATATATTGGCAGTATAGGAAAACAATAATTTGCTCTATGAGTCATATAGGTGATAAAATACGGAAGATTCTATTACATTAGCTGTATCTATTTCGGAAATTGGCGATTAATCTATACAAAATAGACTTCAGATTTAGATCCGGTGAATTAATTTATACACCTTAAAGTAATGTTCTAATTTCTTTGGATATTTAAGAATAATGAATAGGTAATTTCTTGGCACAGGATAGATGACACTTGCTAATGGCTATAAAATAGGGCTATTTGCGAAACCAATTTCGCTATTAGTCAGCTTAAGAATTTATTTCAAAACTGAAGCATTTAATTTAAAGAGAATGTAATATTACTATTAAATTAAGACTTTTATTTAATATATTTATAAAGATACAATTAGATTTCACAGAGCGATATAATTGTCTGAAAGAAAAGAGAAGTTTTTGCTCCTTTTGAATTTCGTTTTATTGAAAATCACAAAATATCTTTATATGGGCAATAAAGTAACTACGACTATTTAATTTTGATACATTTTATTAGATTTCAGTTTCTTACATTTTATATCAAAAATATCTGTACAAAATATAAGCATCATAATGCATTTATATCATTCAAGCAAATCTTGTTAACCTTTAAATTATGTAAGATCTTCTGCAATTAAATTGTGCATTTATACTAGCAATAATTATTGATATTGGATAACCCTAGGCGCCCGAATAAAACGTATATATTATAAATCGCTTTATAATTCAATAAATTACCTTTCTATTATTTTATTCCATAATTTTATATTATTAATTTATCCATTATATGAAAAGTTTTCTGGTATATTTACCATACAGTGATGTCATGAGCAAGCTATGTGAAATTATACTGTGACTTCAGAAAGTTACAGAAAATCTATTTGAACTGTGCGTAAATTTTTAAAGCAAATACGATTCCAACGACGTTTGACTGGAATTTTAATTTAAATCGGCAAATCAATTCTTAGAAATGGTTCTGGTAAAAATATTCAACTACTAGTCTTCGACATTTAAGCTAGGAAAATGTCAATATTCTGTAGTACTTCATGGAAAAGACAAATAAAAGACCTGGAAATGAAAGTCCATGATCAAGTGATTCCTAATGTAAGTTTAATTTTTCCTGGCATCAAACTTGTTCCATTATTCTGAATTCTTCAAATAGATATAGATCCAATGTACCAATTGTAAATATCCAACAAAATTTACGATCTCTACGTGATGTTTAGAGCTTTCTTTATATTCTTGATATGTATTATGTTATCAAATTGAAATTGAAATGAGTCATACGTGGTATGATAACATACTTCACCACATTTGTAAAATATGGTGTGAAATATATAATAAATAGAGAAACAGAAATCATTATTTCATTTGCTTGATCGAAATGTACAATATTTATACAAGTCTAACATTTGTTACGCTGATAATATATAGCTCAAATGTAAAATCTAAGGTATACAAAACTTTATTCAGATTTATTATTATTTTAGATTTTGCATTTTTCATTCTGCTTAGATTCTGAAATTTTTTTTTTTTCATTCTTAAAAATCATATGATTTTGCAATAATCAGAAGAATCCTGATTAAATTAGTTTAAATTAGATTGAAATGGTAGTGATCATTATCTTTCATTGTTTGCAATAAAAAAATAATAACTGAAGCAATTTTAAAATTAATCGCAAATATGAAAAAAATAATATGTAGTATAAGCATGTGAATAAGTGAGCTCAGAAGGTTAAACAGCGTACTTTTTCCATTGTAGGAAAGGTACGAAGAATAAAGATTTTTTTAAAAATTAACAAGCACTCGTAATGACGTTGTTTGATAAATAATTTAAGAAAAAATATTAAATATTTTTAAAACATTAAAAGAGTTTTTGCATATAAAATGAAAATAATGAAGAATTTAATTAATTTCTTTCATTATGGCGCCGAGTAGACCTCATTTCATTACGCGCGTTATGTAAATTTTTATGACTGAATTGTTTTATTACGTATGATAAACATTGTGAAGCCTTGAATACATTTGCCTTAATTGTAAGTAAAGTTCAGCGATTAAAAATATAAATACATAATAAATTTGTTCAATATAAAGGTTCCCAGAGTCATGTTTTATAGTAAATTTTGTGTTTAAAAGCGATGATTTATTTATATCAAAGATTCATTTCTTATGCATTTCATGCTTTAATAATTGAAAATTAAAGCATGAAATGCATAAGTAATAAAACCTGCAATCGAATGAATTTAATGCTTCAATTTAATCAAACGTGTTTATTAAAATTATTACATGTTTAGTAAGATTGGAAGACTATTATAGAAAAGACTCTTCTCAGCCAAATGTTTGTAGAATCTTGAATTAAATATAGTAAAAAGTGAAGAATATACTAGCAATAATACAAGATTACAAAATGTAAGAAAATTTACAAAGAGTTAAGCAAAAATTCAAAGCATATTCGTGATAGTCTAGAAATTACATGACCCAGTGCATTAATTTGTCTAGCAAGTGAAATGCATAACAATAATTATCCAAGTATATGTACAAGACATATTTTGAATGGAGTCATTAATAAACATTGTAAAACAAAAACTTAATTCCTCATTCCTGACTTATATGTAAATGGGAAAACAACTGTATAAAACACAAAAACAACTGCAAATTCTACGTCACAAACTGTTCTACACATAAAATTTGTTATATTTAACATTGAACAGTTAGTCATATGCCACATAAATTAGTTCGAATCCAGGATCTGCAGTATAATTTTTGCCAGCAGGCGCCAACGTTATCGCAAATTTGAACCCATAAATCACTAGTATGTTTTGATCCATTCTATCACTGAACATCATTGATATTCAAATAAATTATTATTAACACTGAAAAAAGCATGTTAGATGTCATCAAGCAAATTGCCTAATAGCAAAAATGTTGCAGTTAAAGTTAATGATAATGAGTTTTGATAAGGATTGTTATTAAAAGTGCAACGGTACAAAAGCGCCGGCAGATTGACCTATTAACTCCGTAAACGGATTTTATTACTGTCTGCTGTTGATGTACAATCTCATTAACGCGTAACGAACAGTTACATTGCGCCTTGAACAAAAGTGCGTGAGCTCAAGACCGAAGTTATATTGCAACCTACGTAACAGTTATATAATGAATAACATCAGAAGAATCGGAAAACTTCTTTAAACTTCCTACTTTTAGTTGTAGATAAAGCAAATATATCAAAGTTGTATTCATAAACATAATTTATCCTAGACATCCCACGATCGAAATGACTCGTATCCGTTTGGTTCCAACTTTTCAACAGAATTTGTTGGAATTGTATTTCCAACCTAATTCTGGGCTCGCTCGTAAGTGAGTGGCTAGAACGACTGGATCTGGATTAGGGGTCCCGGGTTCGAGTTCCCTTCGAGGAGCCAGGAGTTGTCAAGTAGTAGTGACAAAGATTTCACTTGAAAATAATAGATAGCAACATGTTTCCAAGTGAAAACAGCCCTGATAGGGCATTGGTAAAACATCATCACTATTACAATAATTGTAATAATAAAATTCATCAAATAGAAATGAAACAACTGTTTGGATTGTCATAGGACCCATAATTTCTGATCGCTGTTCAAATAAATAAATAAATAAATAAACCCTAGTTTCTCCTTCTTAAGTATTATCATATTTATTATTTGATCAG